ATGNAGGGAATGGGGATTTTGCAGTAACCTTCCCCTGCCACGCCCACAAAGCCATTCCCACAGAACCGGTGATAGTAAAAAAAAAATTGAATACCACCACTGACGACACCCAACGTGTGTTTCTGATGGATGCAGAGTTCTTAAGTCACACAATCCCCAGGTGTGACTTTTGCGACCAGCTAACTTCCGACACGCACGGGGCAAGCCAGATTCACTTAACAACTGTGTGAATCACTTAAAGACTGCAGCAAAAAAAGAGAGTCTTAACATTTGCTTTCTTCTTTCGAGCGGTGGCAACCTTTGAAAAAGCTTAAATAGATTTATTTCAACTTTCAGGTTCAGTGGAAGCACGGGAAACCAAGATTTACTGCAGGACGACAAATTTCCTTTTGAAGCGTTGTGTGACATGGTTGGGGATGCATCCTTGCAGGAGAATCTCTCTGATGATGGTTTGCCCAGAAGCCTTCTAGACATCTCCACCACCCACGATGTTCTGACATCGTCTATAACTCAGGTATGGGCCTGGTGAAATTTCTTAGCTGAGAGGTCACAGGGAATAGCCCTGCTAATTTGTCCAGTCTCTTCCTAAAACCTTCCAGTAGTGGAGCATTCACAACTTCAACAACATCAACAAGTTATGGCTTGTGAGAAGGACAGCCAAAGAGTCAAGAGTCACCTTGTGAATACCTCTTTTTTCCAGGATTATGCCACAGACCCTCCGATGGTATTTCCTAACCTTCCTTTTCTCACAACCTTCTGAAATAATCTTTTTTTTTTTTACAAAGTGTAGATCCTATGCAGTGTCTTTAGTTGCGTTGACCACTTAAGAGGCAGTGGGATACCAGCGTCAACCTCAATGAGAATCATCAGATGGACATGACCAGATCTTACCCTACACCTGTGTTTCTCAACCTTGGCAGCTTGAACAGGGTGAACTTCAACTTCCCCCAGAATTCCCCAGCCAGCTTTGCTTTGTTGGCCGGGGAATTCTGGGAGCTGACATCCACCCATCTCCAAGCTGCTAAAGTTGAGAAACACGGTTCTACAGGATCCAACCCTTGATTGATCATTGATCTTATGGATTTTCTACTTTAGTGTTAAGAGCTATCCAGATTCTGGGGCTCAGCATAGTTCCTGGAAGGGATTTATGCAATCTCATTCTCTTAAGAGGAACAGAATATATATATCATCATATTGATGATGAGGTACATATGTGCTACCTGTTCCCGGCTCTAGGGGAACGGTGCTCATCTCTGTTTCAAAGCTGAAGAGCCAGCGGTGTCTGAAGACGTCTCCGTGGTCATGTGGCCGGCATGACTAAATGCCGAAGGCGCACGGAACACTGTTCCCTTCCCATCAAAGGTGGTTCCTATTTTTCTATTTGCATTTTTTATGTGCTTTCGAATTGCTAGGTGAGCAGAAGCTGGGACAAGTAACGGGAGCTCACTCTGTTACAGTGCGCTAAGAATTCAAACTGGTGACTTTTCTGATGGACAAGCTCAGCGTCTTAGCCACTGAGCCTTCACCATTTTGATAGGTTCCCAAAAATCCTACGTTTCTTATTTGACTTAATTTTCTTCTTCTCTCTTCTATCTGCAGCCTTCCGGCCCTATCCAGCTCTGCAGCTCTGTGAGTTCAGACGAGACAGATGGCGAAGACAATTGCGTAAATACCAGTCAGGTATCCAGCAAAAGTTCCAGCCAACAGTCTTTCATGAGATTTCACAACTACAGACCTTCATCAGGCTTGGAGAGTTGCCAGGCTGATATCTTCCAAATGCCACTCTGTAGCAGACAATACTTGGCAAGAAGTCAGGCACAGATCTTCACCCTGTTTAAGGAACTAATTGTCTCCTGCAAACTCCCCTCCCTTTTCTCTCCTCTTTATTCCCTCTGAGAGGAGCCATTCACGGTCCACCTGTGGCTTTACTCCAAAGTCGGCACCTGTTCTTTAGTGTTCCCTTCTCCTGGCAGCTCTGGGCATGCTCCAGCTGTTCGTCTGCCCCACTGATGTCTGACTCCGAAGGCAGCTGATAACTGGCATATGGCCCTGGCCCCATCTCTGCCTCCGACACAGAGCCCTCCTCAGAGCCTTCCCCAGACTCCAGGACTGTCCCAATTTCCTCCCCAGCCTCCTCACTGTCTGAATCTGCTACCAGATCTGCTGGTGACAACAGAGAGAAGCTGAAGCACATTGTCATGTCTTCTTCTATAGGTCACTTCGGGGTCTCTTTCTAAATATCGTGGCTCATTTCCTCCGGGGAATTCCGTCTTGCCCCTCAGCCATGGGATTCCGGTTGATTTCAACACCCCGGCTTCTCCCTTGGCCTGCCTGGACACCGCGGCGGCCAGGCACAGGATTGCAATGAACCCAAGGAAGCAGAAAGGGTTCACAAAGAAGAGTCACCATTCTCTTGTGAGTATCTGTTAGGACAAGGTCCTTTGGGGAGAGAGAGAGAGTGAGAGTTAAGAGACAGTGGTGGTATTCAGGCAAACCGGTAGTGGCGGACCCGCTACCCTCTCCAGCACTATGCAGTCCTATTTAGTCACATTTTCTAAGCCACGTGCATGCGTGCAAGTCCCGCGCACACTCGCAGTTTTGGTGTGCTGCAAACCAGTGGTGAAAGTATGTAAAACCCACCTCTAGTTAGAGGCTTAGTTAGTGATGCCCCAAAACAGAAGGACGCTTCAATTCCTGCCCTGGACGAATGGCTGCAAAAGTTGATGGAGTTAGCACAGATAGCTAAATTGTCTGATTTGATCAAAGAAAAAAAAACCACAATTATTTTTGTTTCTCCTTGGAAACCACTTCAGGACTTTCTGCTTGGGGTGGGGAAAAATGAAACTGATTTTGGGTTTTACTGATTAGATAGCTCTGTTGCTCTAGAAATGGCTAGTTCACGCTATTATGGAAAAGTAAAAAGTTGAGGTTGGATGTTTATGCCTTATTCTACTGCAACAAAGGGAGACGGGAGTCTATGCCTCCCCCCCCCATTTCCCCCCTTCTTTTGTACGCTTCCCTCTTCCCCTTACCCCTCCCTTTGGTTTCCTCCTATCTGCTTTTGCATTTTCATATTTTACATTATAAGGTAATAAAAAATTGTAAACCACAGAGGGTAGATAGATAGTTACTTCAACTTGCAACAGTTCAAAGTTACAGTGGCATCAAAAAAAGTGACTTATGACCACTTTTTACACTTACGGCTGCTGTAGCCTCCCCATGGAGTCTCGTGATCAAATCCAGACCTTTGGCAAATGATTCAGATTCATGACGGTCGCCATATCCCGGGTCATTCTCATAAGCCAAGTCAATGGGGAAGTCAGATTCCCTTAATAACCGTGTCACTAACTGAACAACAGCCGTGATTCACTTAATAACTGTGGCAAGGAAGGTCACAGAATGGGGCAAAGTTCACTTAACAATTGTCTTGCTTAGCAACAGACATTTTGGGCTGTATTTAATTTAATTTATTCATTTATTAAATTTGTTTGCTGTCTGTCTCTCTGCAAGTCAACTCTGTGTACAGCCTGTCTCTAACTTACGAACGTAACTGAGGCTGGAATTATGGTAGGTTAAGTTGTACCAGTTGCTAAACAGGTCATCTCTGTCACATCAGGTGGAGCAGATGTTGGAGCAGCAACAACCTCTGGAGCCTGTTGAAGATGAAAGAAATCTCTCCAAAGTCCTCGCTGGTCAGAGGAAATCTTGGGAAGGTAACTCCCTCAACACCATCATCATCGTACATATTTCTGGAGACAATGGAGAGCTTTCTTGTATTGAGATTTGAAGGCTGGAAACCAAGGAGGTTGATGATGATGATGATGATGATGATGATGATGATGATGATGATGATGATGATGTTGTTCTTGATGATGTTGATGAAGATGTTGATAAAGATGATGATGAAGAAGATGATGATGGTGTTGAGGGAGGTACAGATATAGGTTAACAGAGTTGGAAGGGACCTTATAGGTGATCTACTCCAACCCTCCCCCCAAGGAGATTATGGTAGTGATGTTGATGTTGATGATGAAGATGATGGTGATGGTGGGGGTGATGAAGATGATGATTGTGATGGTGGTGGTGATGATGTTGATGAATGATATTGAAGATGATGATGGTGGTGATGATGGTGATGAAGATGATGAAGGTGATGGTGATGGAGATTATGATGTTTATGAAGTGATGCTGCTGCTGATGTTATCCATTCAGTTGTGTCCAACTATTGGAGCTTCCATGGATCTCTGGTCTCTCCACATCTTCTTTTTTTTTTTTTTTTTTTTAAACAGAGTTTAATGTGACAGGTAAAAGATAAAAGCTATATGGCCCTTAGAAATCTTTAGCAATATTTGAAAAAAATTGTGAGCTAAATAAGAAT